TTGCATTGAGAATTGCTCAACGTGTGCCTCGTGTGTCTGTTCATTATAAATGTACCACACGAAAATAAAAATATTAAAATATTTTGGTTACAGCAGATTCATTTTCTCCTGTTCACCATTTTCAAAATTAACACTTTTGGTGCGCCTGCGTATCCACTCGGGGAGTTTGGTACTATATGGGCATCTCAAAATACACTTTACACACAAAATGGCCCGCAAAATTTAGATCCTTGGTGCAACAAGTAGGAATATTCCTGAAATACGTGTTTTACTGGTCACATTTATGCAACAAAATTTTAGACCCGAACTACCCCTGCAGAAAAAAAAAATATTCGCTTTTTTGTACTGGTAGTTTAGTCTTGCAATATGTTTGCATAAATGTGGCCAGTAAAACACGTATTCAGAGAAATTTCTACTGGATGCGTCAAACCGCTGAAGTTTCCGGGTCATTCTTTTGCGGAGCGTCTTATTTGGGGACACCAGGTAGTTAGTTAGCTGTCACAATGTCCGTGTCCGTTTGTTTATGTCCTTGTCCCTTTTTCTCCAGTCTCGGGTTTACCAAAATGCTCGGTAAAGGCTCCGACTGCTGCAGGTGACCCTTATGGGGAGAACCCACGGAACAAATAAAACAAGGACCTTCTCCTCCTCCCCCCCCCTTTTTTTTTTTAGCCACATTCCGGGTCTGCCCCCCCCCCCCCCCCCCCCCCCCCCCCCGGGAAAATGGAAACTCTACGCCCTGCTGCACGGAGGAGTCGAAACAAATATTTGTTTCGACTCCTCCGCGCTCAAGGTCACTGCAGCGTCAAGCTGCACTTTTGTTTCGTTGAACATTCTTTTCTTTTTTCAAACGCGTGGTCAGAGTGAGAGGAGAGACGCTGGCACAGGCTTGTATTCGAGCGTGACTCGTGCCTCATCGGACGCCACAGCGCGGCCGCGTCCTGGCCTGGCCTTGGGAGATTGCCAGCGTTCCATGGTCGCGTTTCGTGGACGCGCTTACGCCCCCTGGCCAAGAGAAACGCTCCTATACACCAACTCATGTTTACAAACAAACCAGAGCGCTTTTAGCGGACGCCACCGCGCCGCGCATGCGCGATGGGGGTGTGGGCAAGAAGCTCGCCGTCGCCCATAAACAAACCATTCAAATGCGATGTTGTCGGCGTCTGTGTGAGTCCCCCTGCCTCTTTTCGCGTTCGAATTGTTGATTCTACGTCTTCCTGGCAATGTCTGACTACTTGAACGGCCTCAGTGAAATTAACAAGGCTCGTTACACCGCAAAACTTCGCGCGAATAATGTGAGACACGGCGATTCATTCCGCGTGGACGCCGCAGAATTTACGCTAAAGCCTGATTCGTATGATGAGATTTCGCTCGCAATTTTCAGTCGCAACGTCGCTCGGGCTGCAAAAACCTTGAACTGTTGCTGAGATCGTCGACGTCGATACTGAAAATCTTAAGCAGAATCTGACCTTGCGAATCAGGCCTAGCAAGTCGGTGATGGTCGCTGGTAACAATGATCAACATCTCCTTGTATCCACTGTTTACATCGAGCCTGCTTACCAAACTTCAAATTTAAGTCCTTTGGGACGTGCACTTACTTCTTATCGCAAGTCCCGGGCCAAGATTTGGTCTACGGGCCGGCGTCCTCTATGAGAGTAGACGACAAGCAGAAACGTTTGAAAGAGCAGACGACAGTTCGAACGATCAGGTGGCCGTTTGAACTTGAAAACGCACTGAACGTAGTGCAGGTGGTCCGCACAACTTGGCGGTTTTCTTGCGTTCATGTTGGAACAAAACAAATAAATCTGATGACCACAACTATCCGTGAATTGAACCCAAAGTGCTTCCCGCCCAAGCAATCGTTGTCTGATGCCGTCTGCTCTTCCCTTTTCACGGCACTTATCCATATTCTCGGACGAACCGAGCACGTGAAAACTGACCGTCAAGCCTTTCTCGACACTTTTGGAACGGCCCCAGTCGCGGCGTTTTGACGAGAAGGCAGGTTTTTGACTGGTTCCTTTCAAAGCAACGCAGGAATACACGTCTGGCATGGGGACTTCTGCCCACAGCTCCAGACCGGAAGTGCGCTCGACGCGCCACCACCGCGCCGTGACGTAACAGAGATGAGTTCGTGTATAACAAAATTGCGTCTGTGTCTGACGGGGTAAAGCAGCATCTAAGGGGACGTGGCGAGGCTGCAGCGGAATGAACTGGATCACGCGCCATATTCTGTCAATAAAAGGGCTTGGAAACGCGCGTGGTTCTTCCAAATTGGCGAGGGCGGCGCAAACTTTCAAGATATTTGAAAGCAAACCCGTTTAATTTTTTTTTTTAATGAAAATTACGTACTTACAATCCTACGCGGTCGATCAGAGCAGACGGCGCCACACAGCAATGCAGCAACAAGAGTTCAAACGCTCGACACCAAAGCAACGTGGGCAGGAATATCAAAGTGAGACCGAAGTTTTTAGACGCAGCTGAGGAGATCTAAGGTTTTAGCAGTGACCAAATTGTACATTTTAGACGCAATAACTCGGTACAGTGCATCTTCCAAAATTAAAATTAAATTAAAATCTCCAAAGTTTTTTTTTTTTTCTTTTTTTTTGCGGGAGAAATTGGTTGCTTTCCCCAAATAAAACCCGAACCAAAATAAGATTCGGTGAATGCACGCTGCGTATCAAATATTTTAATTAAGATGCCACATTGGTAGAAGGACATGTATACTCGAGAAGATTTTAATTATTTAGTTTAATTAATTGCAACGACATACACCATATAATGAAAGCCTTTACGCCATCAAATGTTTCGTGACATTTTGGATATAACATTAACCACGCCCAGCACAGTTTTGCTCTAGCAGCACATTTTGTGTAACATTGACGTTGTCAGTAACCCTGACGGGATGTTTTCCTTCAATTTGGTAAAGGCAAGCTCAGGAGCAAACCAGAAACAAAAAACTAAAATGGGCAGATCCATTATTTCAAGAATTCTTTAGAATATACGAATCAGTTGCGCAAATGTATAGTTTTGCTAGTTTTGTCTTCCCGGTTTTTAAATGGAACTGATCACTTGATTGGGAAATAGTAAAACGCCCGCACGATCATTTATTAACCTGTTTGCCACGGAATTATTTCTCTAACCTTTACGTTCTTTACGCTCCAGTCAGAAACATGATCCCCAATTCCAGCCGAAACATGTGCCTCAATACTTATAAAAACAAAACACCGAATGTAAGCTCAATTCTATTGTGAGCGCAATAAAAGCCGATGTTTTTTGTTTTTTTTTTTTGTATCAGGTAACCTGTCGTCAGTGAACAGCTTTACCCTGTTAATCATAGACCACGGGTTAAAAAAACCGCCACTGGCTCGTTGGCTACTCAACAACAGAAACTATGCGGGTAGAAATTGGGTACGAGGAGGAAATGAAGAGCGCGCGGCACGTCCAAACACGAGCTCTTTCTTGGGAAGACATAGTGAGTGGACCCAAAGCTAGCTGCTTTTTATTCTCATCAATTTGTGAAAGCATTCGAAAGCCGAATGCCGGTGTCCAACAAGAGCTTGGTGTTCCGATGTCCCCGCGCGCAGATCTCCTCTCCGTCTCTCCCGCAATTTCTACGCGTATGTCATTCCTTAAATATAGCGAAATCAACGGAAGTCGGTGAGGGTTCAATCCCCACCCCTGCCCGCTTCGACCTGGATGGGCATAGCACCGGCGTGCGGTCGAGTATCACTACTGCGTGGTGCACGTCCAAGACTCCGGGCTAGCGGCTGTGCTGCACTGGCTACATTTGTCATTTACAGTGGGTAGCATAATGTCGCCATGTTCGGACAGACAGAAATCTGCCTCATTGAGAAGAGGCAGATTATTATCAATATATCAATTATTATCAATATATTTATTCATAATTATTTTAGTATACGAAGACACGAAGTGCAAAGAAGGCTTAACTTTGGTGTAAAACAAATAAAAAAATTCAAAGAAATCCTTAGTTATTTGCAACTCCACAGGAGGTCCGACGCCACCCAACGGAAAAGACGTGAAGGACAGAAGCAGGAAGATTGCTCACATCCGCATCGCTCACATCAATTAATGACCACGCACTTTTTTGTACATCTATAGCCAATTTCATGTTCCCTGTTATTTAAGTATCGTATATTTTGTTCCAATTGTTGATCATGTTTACTATACTCCCCTCTGTAATGCCGTCTGCCTAGAGGGTAAAATAAATAAATAAATACCACCTATAGAAAGAAGTATGTAGAGAACCTGCATTACATAGAGTTCCAACTGCTCGATGAGCGCCACGTGGGTTATGATTATGGGCCGCGTTTGCAAAACGAGCTGCGAGGAGGAGGCGAAAGCAACCACCGTCTGCTAACGTCTCCCCCTTTCCACCTGCTTTCCTCCTCGCCACAAGACAACGCAGCGCATGCGTACTTCCAACCAATTTCCGCGCAAGGCGTCCACCATTCTATTGCAAACGTTCCTCGTGGTTTGAAATGGGACCTCAGTTCAATCTAGGCTCCCTGGAAGTATGCAACGAAAACTCGAGACGCCTCGTGGCAGAATCGTGAAACTTATAGAAGGGAATTCAATGCACGCTGCTGGAGTCTCGAATAATATATCTAACCCTGGATATCAATGCCTGAACGCATGCACTAAAATAAGAGTTTCAACTGAACAACAAACATCGCAATGCGTCCCGGGAATATTTTTAAATGACAGTCGTAGAATATCAATAAGCAGTTATCATACTTTTGGACAAGTATACTTTTAATTCCACTGCTCTACAATTTTTGTGACATCGAGTATATAGGCCAGATTCACAAAATTATCAATTTCTGTTTTTCTTGACAAAAGATCCTTATATTCCCCAGGAGTGCAATTGCCTGGTTATCATAGAACGCAAATCGATTCCAATTTTCATACTTTCTCGAAATGTTTTTATTCCACGGGATACTCCAGAAAGTGGACCATGACGCGTGTGTTTCGGCAATTCTCACCCTGCCTGATGCTGTTGTCGAGAAGCTGGGGCTGCCCTTCCCAGCGCAGCGGCTGTCCCTGGTCGTTCCAGGTGACGTTGATGTAGCCCATGTACTTGCCCAGCCAGAAGTCCTGGACCACGAGGCAGCGCGTGCCGTCGGCCCGCTCCACCACCACCGGGTACGGTCCCTGGGGGGCGTTGCCCGAGATCTTGCCTACGCCGGGAAAAGAGCGAGGGGTCACTTCAACGTGCAGCCTTGTCGGGGCCACAGCCCGCAATATGGCCACGAGATTTGGCTAACCGATAGTGCTACCGAAAAAGAAGCGGAGCTCCGGGTTACCTTAACTTTCGAAGAGACCAGAGTTGCAGATATACCTTTCAAGTGTCTTTGCGATATCTCTCTATTTATGAACACTGTTCACATCTCAGCGAGGTTGACAAGTGTGGGATGGAAGTTTGTAATCAATATGCAATAGAAAGCAAAACAATTACTACAATAATACAGCTCATTAGTCCTAGAAAGAATCTACAGTTAAAAAGACAATAAAATGACACAATAATAAAAATATATTTTACTCTAATAGTGTCAAAATTAAATCATAACAGTCAACACTTCCTCTCAACAGTCTTGATCCCAAATACTAACAATAACACTCGCCAATTCATTTGGACAGTTGATCGATGCAATGTTCTCGGGAAACAAATTATAATCGAGGAGTATTTTATGAAAAAAAAAATACATCGGTACTATATTGCGGAATTCTAATTGGTTCTTAATATTACTTCTTATTTTCCTTGAGTTTCTATTTGCACTTTTCATCCCGACTCCATGCTTTAAGTGAAAACTGATTCGAAAAGTAAAATGTAGAGGAAACGTAAAGAAATAAGTCGAATAGGATCAGCTAAACCTGTAATTCGTAATTGCATGCTTGTACTTTAACAGCATGGCTATATTTTTTGTTCTAAATGACGAGATTTCGGCGACCGCTTCAAAATCGGCCATCGAAGGGCGCAATGCTTGTCGGGAGATCTGGCAAATCCTGCGCAGCCCTGACGTCATCATGCCATAAAGGGCCAAGGGTACCGTAGTCGTATTAGAGTATGACCCGTCTGCCTCGTCTTCGCCGTCCGCAACAGGTAACAGAGCCTATTCGCAAACCAGTCCTACGAGAAAACCTAAAAAAAAAAAAATCGTACTCACGAAGCGATATAACCGCAAGTTTTTTTGTAAGCTGCGATGAAATCCTACGACCACGCCTACGACAGCTGCAGAGGTTTATGTACTCTTTATGATCAAATCCACAGAGCCGGCAACATCGCTCGCTTACGTTGTCGCGACGACCAACGTGCATTTCTATGTGCTTTCAGTGCGCGTCCCAACATCAAGCAGCGAGAGAAAAGAAGAAAGAAAAGTCGCTACTTATAACTGAACGCCGCGGCGGGGACAAACGCTCGAACCACGGATACCCGTAAAAGCTACAACAACAAGGATCCCACCAACCAAGCGACCGGCAAGGACTAGCTAGGAACGCTAGGCCTAGCGAGGCACTCCGACGACTCCAACGTAACGCTGCTCCGACGAGCAGGGACAAGACCATCCGCACACGACCGGTCAGCTTGCTGAATGGCATATGTCCACGTGACCTTCGTGAACCATTCCCGTATGAATAGTTTGAACCCAGATTTCTAGTTCGGGGTAAGAAGGCCAGCCCTTCCCCTCGTCGTGCCTATAGCTTGTTTTCGAATGCAGCGGTGGCGAACGCTTCCGTCGAAAAGGCACACGATTTTCGATTCTATCTCCTTTTTTTTTTTTTTGTTATAGGGCTCGAATAAACGCCATAAGGATTGCCTTCGGAACATGGGTACGTAAACTTTTTTTTCAGTATGTCCAGTTTATTTTGACATGACGGTACGCCAACACATTTTGAGTAGGAGCAGTTGTTGGGAGTTGTTGGGAAATACTCAATGCTGGTTCAATCTTTCTCTGTCGAGCGTCACGTCAGCATCGAGTTGCGATTGTCTAGTGGCCCAGCAATTGTTAAAATCAGTAGCAAAAGGTCGTTCCCGAAGCGGTTGCCAAGAACGCGGTGCCAGCGCGGTTTCGCTCCCAGTGATAACAGGTATTTACGTAGATCTTGATGGCACCCTTTTACTTCAAACGTATCTTCCTCGATGTCCGCTCCCTCCCGCATCCCGAAGCCACGGAAAACGTCGCAGGGATATGTTTACATGTGCGCCACTTTGCAGGACCGTGTGGGCCGTCTCTTTTTAGTAACTATGTTGTGTTGACTTCGTAGTGATCGAGTTTATTGCAGTCGACCAAGGCGGCTATCCCATCATCTCGAGAGGTGGGCATTCGGGCCGGTTTAAATGGACATTTCGTATATAGCGTCGACATTACATCGCACGTAAACGATCCCCGAACAAGCGCTGCCGGAAAGACCACCCGATACTGAAACTAATAGTGGCCAACGTAGCTGTTGCTTTCTTCACCAAAGCACCTTGGTATTACTTTCAGGCCTAAATAATTTCTATGACTGCGTACTTCCCGCTGCGGCGCATGTCGTCACGACATTCCTTCGAAGCTTCACAGATCAAAAACCACGAAGTGGTTTTTCTTTATCGTTTTATTCAGTTTAAAACTCGTTTTCTTGCGTTATCCTACGAAATATTTGTATTAATGAAGTCGTATTTTAACCCTCTTCATGTTTTAAGAAAAGTGATGAACCCCAGAATTTTGGTTTTGTACCTTTTAACGCTGTGGCAGCTTCCACCTTCACTAGGACGCACGCCACATTCACCCTCCGACGTTTGCTTTGGAAGTCATGTCTGTATTTTACGTGCTTACATTATATTTTATATATGACTGCACTATGTATGTGGAGTTTTCCAGTGTGAATGTGCATTTTCCTAATAAAGGCCGTCAAACGCTCTTCTCTATTCTCGAAACACGGCTCCAAACAATGTTCGTAATGTATAAGAGTTAGACGTTCGCTTTGATGTCGACTAGAAAAGAAAGAACGAAAGAAGAAAATAGAGCATCCTTCAGCCTGGTTCAGACAGTTGCGTTTGACTGCGTTGCGGCAGCGAGAAACCACGACATCCCTGCTGCTTATATCGCGTGCCAAGATGATTCCTTCAATTGCATTCCACGCTTCATACGAAGCACAGATGTGCCGGTGACTCGCTTTCGGTTCTCGACGCAATGCAGTCAAACGCACTCGCACGCAAGTGTCTGAACCGGCCTTTAAACTGGTCAACTCGTGGCCAGAACAATCTGTGAGTAATTCCGCGAGCGCTCCTCACAAGCACATCTATCGGTTGGCGCGTGCTGTGCTCCGGATATTGCCAGGCGCGACGGCGAGCGACCGCGTGTGTGGCCGAGTGGTTACCGCGCTTGACTGTCGCGCGGAAAGTCGAGGTTCCATTCCAGTCGGTGGAATGTTCTTTTATTTATTCTTTCAACATTGCGTTCTCGTGAGTTCGAGAACATTCTCGACTGATCGAGTTCCGAATGTTCTAGTCGCCGAACGTTCTAGGCTGATTGTTCCAGAAGCCAACGGCGTACATAAGCGGCTCCGCGTGGCGCTTTGCAGTCAGTCTCGCCTTAGCGTTCGATCCTGCTCTTTCAACGCCTGCGACGCTATCATTTTTCTGTTCTGTTTTAGGGGTGAAGCTCCGCTAGCCCCTGTCACGGCGGAAACATCAACAAAACATGTTTCTCAACAGTCGGGCAACATGTCGGCTGTCGGCTCTGTTGCCCGACAACCCTGTCACATTGAGGAAACAGCACCAGAACATGGACGACAGCGACAATGTTGTCTCGGTGTGAGCTTTTCGAAACGGAAACCTCGGCAACTTGTGTTGGACGACACGTGTTGACCATTTCGGTGGCTGAGCGAATTTTTTTCCAGCAACACGGCAACATCTATATCTTGCAGTACAGGCAGTCGCACGAGAATACTTCAATAATTGACAACTCCCCATTTCTAAGCAGCCCCATCACTATTGCAATTAGCACATCCCTTCTTGCACTGTGTGGTTTGTCGCGGAGCGGTCGAGTTTATTCGAGCAGTTCAGTGTTTCGCTCGAGATGCCGTCGAAGCCTTCAACTGTGCCGTTTACTTCGACTGAGGAGTCGAAAATGATCACGATGGTCGAGGAACGTCGATCTTTGTGGGACGTGCGAGATGAGCGATATCACCGACGTGATCTTAAAGACAAAGGTCCATTTTGAACGCGGCTTTTTGCGCGGCGGCAGCTGATCGTCAAAATCATCTGAATCGATGTCACAAAGAAGCACCAAAGCAGAAGCTGCTGCTGTGGCCGGCGCGTATGCCATTCTGTAAGGGTCTAGCCCTGTAGCAGAACCCAACCGCCAAATCCAGAGAAAACGAGATGGTTTGCGCGGCTGACGAATCGACTACGGTAGAGCGACGGCGATGAGACGGCTATTCAAAATGGCAACGATTCAAGAGGCGAGCGGAGCCAGCGGATCTGAGCCTAGCCGCCTATACTTCGTCTCAGCTTCGGTCCAGACGCAGCCGATGCTACAGGCGCGAGCATGTGGCCCAGAACACTGCTTGCACTGCACGAGCGCGCGTGCTTGGCAGGGATGCTGAAAGGCCGGAGCTCGCGCTTGTGGCTTTGGCTTCGTCTGGACCGAAGCTGAAACCAAGTATAGCCGATCCGATCTGGCCGGGCGAACGGGGGCGAGAGCGACAGAGAGGTAGCGCGCAGGAGAGAAGGCAACTTGTGTTCTTCCGACACGCTTTCCCGGTGTGACAGGATGTCCCCCGAGTGTCGGAGAACAAGTTAGGAAACATGGTTATCGAACGGCAGCAACATGTTTCCGGACTGTTGCTGTTTCCGCAATATGACAGGGTCCCCGAAAACATGTTTTCCTCGCGTTGAAGGACAAAGTTCTTCGACTGTTTCCGCAGTGTGACAAGGCCATTAGGGTCTAGCCTTGTCCGTCCGGCGTCCGTGCTCACATCGATCTTGCTGGTGCTCGTCTTCGTGCTCTTGAGCTCACGTGCTCACGTGCTCTAGTTCTCGTGTAAGGCAAAATATTTAAAAAAATGATGAAAGAAAAGAAATTTTTGCGCAGTCAACAGGATTCGAACCTGTGCGCGGTGACCCCAATGGATTTCTAGTTCATAGCCTTAACCACTCGGCAACGACTGCGCGACGAGTAGGGTGCTCTGAGATGTG